ATCAATGATAAGCTGATAAGCAAGCGATTAGTTATATATAAGATTGATCACTTTTTAAACCGGCGTTTTACTTAGAAAGCAAATTTCACTGTGTTGTGTACGTGTACCGACAATATTACAGTGATAAAGCTATATATAAAACAAACAAGCCGCCCAATGTTGAATACCGCCACAGATGTGTAACATGCACCCTGTGGTCAAACTTATCCACAAACTGTCAATCACAATCAAAACTTTCCCGGGGGGAAAAAAATTAAAACTGTCTGTACCAGTGTGGGTAGTACCAATGTGAAAATGCTGTGCTGAGTGGTTATATTACTACCTTAAAAAATAAGCAGAAACTCGACGTTTCGAGCGAAGGCCCTTCGTCAAGAGTTAGTAGTAACTAACTCTTGACGAAGGGCCTTCGCTCGAAACGTCCAGTTTCTGCTTATTTTTTAAGGTAGTAATATAACCACTCAGCACAGGAAAAAAATTAGACTATAACATTTTCGGTTATATCTCGGTTGCATTTTAATATTTTCAAACAATATTTGCGGAAATAGAAAGATCTCTAGCCCCTCGATATAAATCGATAAAAATGCAAAAAAGGACAAAATCAATGTTTTTATCATATGGACAGGGGCGTAGGAAGCTTAGAAAAGTTGGGGGAAGCCAGGCTTAGAGGGGCACTTTCAAAAAAAATTTTTGGCGACCGTCGCCAAAAATTTCGGTCAGTGTACCATTTTAGGAGTAAAAAATTTTCCGGACATACCATATCTTTCCTTAAATACTAAAAATTTTTTCCGGAAAAACAAATATATGATATTTTTATCGGAAACTAAAACATTTTTCAGGAAAAAACCTACATTACAGTTTTCAAAAGTTTCGTTTGGACAAAAACTGCGAATTTTATGAAAATTTTTCAGGCACGAAAAGGGCACTTTGCTTCTGTAAAAAGGGCACTTGCCAAAACTTGGGGGGGCCATGGCCCCCCTGGCCCCCCCGGTTCCTACGCCCCTGCATATGGAGTAACCTTAACAGCAATACCATATGAACAAATCATGCGGCCAGTTCCAAGAGACGCGGGCGGAGGACGGGAAACTAAAGTGGCCTTACTTGCGCACAAAATGTTACGCAATACGCAATTATCTGATGATCATCGGTTTCCCTTCTTGAAATACACCCCCCGGCCGCCTTCCACCTCCTTCCCCCTCCTAGCGCAAATGGAGCTCGTGCATTTTCCTCTTGACAAGCAAACTCGACTGGCATTTAGGCAGAGTAATTGCGACGAGACTGAGTCGTGTAATTACTGTAAGTGTAATAATAGCCAATAGGTGGATAGATTGGATAGCCTGCGTTGGCAGGCCCTCAATTTTATGGGGGGCCTGATTTGCAGGGGCAGGATTTTGGCGGGCACGGGGGTGGTTGGGTGGATTTCACGATTTTCACCATAGACAATTTTTGGATTGTCTATGATTTCACCAAGCCTTTATATTATACATAGGGAAATGCTTGTTTATTTCTTTATGCTTTATTTTGACACATGAATAATACACATAGACTATTACATTTGAGAAACATATGACATTCACGAGCAGGCTAGATATTCACTTAATTCCTGAATTTTCATGACACAAAACAATAGCTTGAAATCGAGGTAAACAATGTATTAATCCATTGAAAATAAGTAGTTTTCATTGCCAGCAAGCCAGAGGCGTCAGGGCGGCTCTAAAAGTGGGGGAGGGGGCACACTTAGTGCAGTAGCGCCTGCCATAGGAGGGTGACATTCTAGGGGGTCCGGGGGCATGCCCCCAAGAAAAATTTTAAAACTAGAGTCTCTGAATTGCCATTTCCTGCACTTTAGAAGGAGATGTACAGAGTTCTAAAGGTTACAAAATGTTATAAAATATCTCAAATTGTTTTGTCTACAAGCGTAGCTGAAATAATATCAATTAACATTGTGGTTTATTATTGACCATTGTTAAAAAGTGGGGGTTCAAAGACATTTATCCCCCCCAAACTAAAAAAGTGTGGGGGGTGGCCCCCCACCCTGGTGCCCAGTTTTAGTGAAACCCATGCACATGCAACTATACCATAAATGTCGATGTCCTTACACATGGGAGGGCTTAATTATGGCGGGGGCTTATATACAGACAATTATCGGATGAGGTTTTTGTGATATGCGGAATTATCAAGGTCGAGGTAAGCCTTATCTGATAATGCTTACCCAGACCTTGATAATTTTGCATATCGCAAGAACCAAATTCAGTAATTGTTTTATTATACATTAGAAGGGTCAATATAGCGGTTCTAACTTCTTTTTTTTTTCTGGGTTTTTTTCTAAGTCTTTTTTTTTCTGAGTTTTTTTTCAAAGTCTTCCAGATTTTTTCTCCCCAATTCCCCCAAGTTTTTTCCAAGTCTTTTCAAAGTCTCTAAAAGAATTTTTTTTCCAAGTCTGGAAAAAAAGTTTTTTTCGAAGAAATTAAAAAAAAAATTTTTTCACGAAAGTGATTTTTTGAAAAGAACTATATGTATAGTAAATAAAGAAAGAGTATGAGTCTGAAAAAAAAAAGTTTCGGTTCGGAAATCAAAAGACTTGCGTCGGAACGTAAGAGACGGAGGGAACGAAATGAGATTCTTATAGCAAGGGAATATATGGAAAAAGAAATAGTGGAAGATGGATGTTTTTGTGTGGGGGAAGTGGATGATATCGGACGCGGGAAACCGGAAGAAGCTGTGAGAAGATTGAGAGAATATGCCGAGTTGAGGAATAGGATATTGTTAAAAATAGAGGAGGCATTGATCGAAGCGAGAGAAGTGATAAGGAGGGAAGTAAGGCCGAAACCGATGAATGTAAAACAATTAAAGTTAATTTTGAGAAAAGTTTGTGCATACTTTGATTATCTTCCGAGAAGATCACATCTTTTAGAATGATGTAGAGAGGTGATAGCGGAACCACCCCCTTCGGTTTCCGAGATTGAATTAATCACTGCGAAAGAAATGAAAAGGGAGTTGAGTCGGTTGGGTTTAAATTTTAGGACAAATATGCGGAAACCTGTTCTGAGGGAGATTTTGATAGAGGATGCAAGGAGAAATAATAACTTTAAGGCGAAACAAATTGAATGGGATTATCCTGTTAACCGCCAGTGGTATTTAATGAGTCGGTGGTATTTTACCCGCAGGTTAACAACGGATCCGTTTACGATATGGGCATTTGTGAAGGGAAATAGGGGTAATAAAAGGTGTACGTATAATATTGGAATAGAACACCTTATATAAATAAAGGAGAAGAAAAAAGATTTATCCGGAACTACTATATCTACTCATTCATTTTTTTCCCATACTCGTTCGGAGTATGGGAATTTTTTTGTTAAATAAATTAGTAGATACAGTAGTAAGGATAACCTTCCGTTTTTAAGGCGAATGCATGATGTATTTCTTGATAACGAAAGACGATCAAGGAAAGAATCAGAGGTTCGTGAAAAAAGGGCAAGACAAAAAACCCGCGAGGGAGGAAAAAGTTGGGAAAAAAGTATTAGGAAAGAAGAGGCACGTCGCCGCGGAATAATTAACAGGGAAAGGGCAGCAGAAAAAAGACGCGTTCTCGAAGAGAAAAAACAAGCCAGCAGGGAAAAAATACGTCTTCGCGATTTGAACGAGACGGTTGTTCAACGAGAACGTAGACTTCGTAGGAATGAGTATGAAAGAACAAGACGCAGGAAGAAAAGGGAAGCGGAAGCAAGATATTTAGAGTTGACGCCGTTTCGGGAAGATTCGGCAATACGTGGGATGGTGGAAAGATATAGGATCGAACCGACAACTGCTTTCGATGTGTTAACGTTTTTGGAACTTGCCAGACCAAGAGTTCGTGAACTTTTGGATGGATTACGCGGAAGAACGTCGAGAAATATTAGGTTAGAATTAATTTGTTTGATGGGAAAGGAATTGGAAGATGGAAGAGAGGAGTTGAAGGAGGCAAGTTTTATAACGGGAAATTATAAGCTTCACGGCATCGACACGTTGACGGATGTGATTTGGGAACAGATGAAGGATAAGATTTTGTTGGAGTTTTCTCGTTATCAAAAAGGTGGAAGTAATTTTGTTTTGAAAAGAGTTCAGCGTTTGTATATTCACGTTGGAAAATTTATTCCGTTCAGGGGAAAGGGATGTTCGGATTCTCTTCCCGATTTTATAAGAAAAAAGCATGCATTGATCAATATGAAAAATACAGACGACGAATGTTTTAAATGGGCAGTAACCCGTGCGTTATATCCGGTGAAAATAAATTCCGGGATAATTTCAAAGAAACTTCGTAAACAGGCGGAGAATTTAAACTGGAAAAATGTTGAGTTTCCGACACCGGTTAAAGGAAGATCTATCATTAGTTTTGAACAAAACAACGGTGTGAATATCAACGTGTTTTCGTGGGATGAAACCGATGGTTTTCATCCGATAAGGATCAGCAGATCTTATTCGTCGGGTGGGGCAACCGTGGTCCGACTTTTTCTATGGGACGAACATTATTATGTCGCTAAGAATATGTCAAGATTAATCAGATCTCAGGTGACAAAAAATGAGCATGCAAAGTATTTTTGCGATAAGTGTCTGGATGGATTTGGACGAAAGGATCCTTTAAAGGAACACCTTGAAATGTGTTTGGAGGAGAACGAAAAAGGTGTGGGTAAGTATCTGCGAGTTTGAAGGAGTAAGAAGGACACAAATTCATCCGTACGTAATCAGTGCGGATACGGAATCTTTTTTGAAGTAAAAAGAAAAGGTTGGAAGAATTAATAGGAAGAAATTAAAAGGTTCGGGTAGGAAACATTTACACGATCACGTGATGAATTCCTATTGTTTTCATACTGTAAGTACGAACGAAGATAGAATGAAGTCGGAAACGGTTCAGAAAACGTCGGTTCACGAATTACAATGCATATCGGATAGGTTTGTAGACGATCTTGTTGCAAAGGTACGCGAATTTTTCCGGAACACCCACGATCCACTTCCCATGAAGGAAATGACCGAGGACTTGAAAAAATCTCATCTATCGGAGACGAGATGTTACGTATGTAATTCCAAGTTTTCCGAGGAAAATTTAAAGGTACGAGATCATTGTCATTTTACGGGAAAATATCGCGGGGCTGCATGTAACGCATGTAATCTTGAAATGACAGCACCGACATTCGTTCCGGTTTATTTTCATAATCTCGAGGGATACGACGCACATTTAATTATTCGAGCACTTGCGAGGATTCCGGGTAGGTTTAAAAGTATTTCGAAAACGGAACAGAATTACATTTCTTTTTCGAAGATGATTTGGGTGGGTCCGTTTACAGATAAGGAAACCGGGGAAGAATATAATAAGAAGGTGGAAATTCGGTTCTTGGATTTGTGCAAGTTGATGCAATCATCGTTAGAAAAACTAGCGAGTGGATTGAAAAAAGAGACGGATTTTATTCAGTTGGATCGATACTGTGACGAAATGGGATATACAATGATCCAGCGGGATTTATTAAAACAGAAGGGAGTTTATCCTTACGAGTACATGGACGATCACGAAAAGCTTGACATGAGTCGTCTTCCACCAAAAAGATTTTTCTACAACGGATTAAAAATGGAAGACGTTACGGACGAGGAATACGAACGCGCTAAAAAGTATGGAAGACGTTCGGAATGAAAAGTATGCTGGATTATCACAATCTGTACTTGGTAACGGACACGTTAATTTTATCGGACGTGATAGAAAACTTTTGGAAGGAAAGTCGCGAAACGTACGGACTTGATTCACCGTGGTATTACACGGCTCCGGGGCTTTCGTGGGATGCAGCATTAAAAAAGACTAGAATTAAATTAGAGTTGATTACCGACCCTCGAATGTATAGATTTATCGAAAATGGAATTCGTGGTGGAATAAGTACGTCGGTAATGCGATACGGAACGGCTGACAATAAATATGTTGATATTTCGGAAATTCCCGAAGGTATCATAAATTTAATGCGTGACCTAAATTTTAAGATCAGAAAGGATCCAACCGATATTCGCGAAAAGGTTTTAGAATTCGAGAATGATGTTTGTAAATTTTTATGGGATTATAGTCAGGAGGACGACAATAAAATTATGAGATACATCGAAAAGAATCTGACGCGATGGGTAACATGTCTTAGCGATCATGGAAAGGAAGATGATTCCGTATTCATTCCGTACTTGGATGCAAACGGTTTGTATTCTCACGTCATGACACAACCGTTACTCTACGCCGACTTTGAATGGATGTCGGAAGAAGAAAAGAAAAAATGGGATCGTCTTCCGGAAGGGAAAGGATGTTTTTTAGAAGTGAACCTGGAATATCCGAAGGAACTTCGCGATCTTCATAGTGACTGTCCACTTGCTCCGGAAAGGATACTAACGGAAAGCGGCGGTATGAAACTGGCACCGAACTTATACGATAAGAAAAGGTATATTCTTCATGTGAAAAATTTAAAATTTTATTTGGAGCACGGTTTGAAATTGTTGGAAATTCATAATGGTGTTATGTTTTCGGAACGATCATGGCTGGCCGAATACATTCACATGAATATCGAACTTCGTAAAAAAGCAACGACAGATTTTAAGAAGGATTTTTACAAGTTGATGTGTAACGCTATTTTTGGAAAGACGATGGAGAACGTAAGAAACCGCACGGATATTAAACTGGTCAACGATGAAAAGGATTGGAATAAGTTGGCAAGGAAATGGAATTTTGAAAAAGCGACGATATTTTCGGAAGATCTGGTAGCGTCTCGTATGGCAAGGATAAAGATCTTTTTGAATAAGCCTATTTACGTGGGAGCCGCAGTTTTAGATCTGAGTAAGATTCACATGTATAAATTTTTCTATGATTATTTAAAACCTACGTTTGGTAAAAACGTAAGACTCGTGTATACGGACACGGATTCGTTCATCTTACACGTGAAAACCAACGACTTTTTCAAAGATATTTCAAACGACGTGAACGAATGGTTTGATACGAGTAACTTTCCGAAATCTCATCCGTCGGGAATTTCATGTGGAAAAAACAAGAAGGTTCTGGGAAAGATGAAATTTGAAACGGAGGCAATCCAGATCGTCGGAATGGTTTCATTACGTGCAAAATTGTATGCTTATAAATTGGAAGATGGTAAGGAGGGAAAAAGGGCAAAGGGAATTAAAAAAGCAACGATCAAAAAAACGTTGCGATACGATGATTTTAAAGATTGTCTTTTCACGGGAGAAAAACAACAACGCGAAATGGATGTGATTCGAAGTTACGATCATTATATTCGTACGGAAAGGATTACAAAAGTGGCGTTATCATCCGACGACGATAAGCGTCATATTTGCAAGGGCGGAATTCACACGCTAGCACATGGACATAAGGATATGAGGTATTAGTCTTGGTAACAACTTTCGGTAAAATTCAGGACTGTTTTTAAATTTCTTACAAGCAAGTCTTGGTAACAACTTTCAACAAAATTCAAGATTGATCCGGAAGATCTCGCGAATAAAATTCCAGTAAATTTTACATTCGTTCTATGAAAATCTCGTAAGTAAATTTTAAACAAAGTTAAACAAAATTAAAGTATTTTTTTTCCATACAATAAAGAAAATGACAGAAGTAAATCCAGAATCCGTTCCGGTTACCAAACCTTTAGATCCATCGAAAAAAGTTAAAGATCCACGTAGAGTCGAAGCGGGAAAAAGATTGGCAAAAATAAGTCAACAGGCCAAAGCCGCGAAAAAAGCAAAGACCGAAAAAAATTTAAAAGCGGAAGTTCGCGGGGAATGTATGACGGAAGGTGGAAGTGGATGGATTTCCGTCGAGAAATTATGTTTGGTTCTAGGTGTAGGAATCGGGTTGGGATCGTTGTATCTGACGTGGAAAAGTCGCGATGAAAAAGGATCTGTGAAACAAGTGA